GCCGGCTGTCAGCAAGGCGCTGGTAGACAGACGCCTGTTTATTTACAGCTGAACGTTGGTGAGGCACCGCTAGGATAATGAGAAAGCCATTTGCTGTACGATACAACAATTCACCTTGGTCCCTCGCTAATCCAGGCCTGGGGAGCCCTTTAGAAGAGGGGAGGCTGAGGCTGTGGCTGCTGGCAGGTAGAGAGCATCTCCGGCTGGTGGCTGACCCACCAGGGCAGAGGACATCCTCCCCCGGGAAAGCAAAGGGGGACCACGACTCTGGAAGGAACGAGCACATTTCTGTGGTGGCAGGTTTCTGGGGTAAAGGGGTTCCAGCACCTCTGAGCAAAATAAGAAATGAGAACCTTACCCGTAGAAGTTCCTGCAGGCAGTAGAAATCCTCCAGCATGGCAGGAGGCGATACATAGATGTAGCTACATGTACACATACATACGGTCAAACACAAAGCGTCGCTCCACACACCCTGCACCCTGGGGTCAGCGCCTGGTTCGAGTTGCCCTCTAACCACACAGAGGGTGCAAGGGGCTTGGTGTGACCCTCATGCTCTCCCCATGCTGCCAGCACCACGTGCTGCAGCCTCCGAAGTCACCTCTGGGACTGCAAGGTGGGGGCGGTCGGGTTTTGCTGTCCCGGTGCAGGGACACAGCAGCAGCTTGCATGATCAGGCCCTGCCGGGGCACTGGGCTCTCTCTGCGCTCCCTGAAGGCAGAAACTGCTCTTCCCTTGTCAGCAAGACAGTTCACTCCTCAAAAAAAATGAAGCCTGGGAACGCCTGGTGCTCAGCAGCTCCTTTTCCGCAGGCAGGAGCAGCAATCAGAAGAGATGAAGCTGCTGCTCCTGATGGTCTCAGCGCGTGCAGCGTCCTTTCTGCTACTGCAGGCGGCCGAGAACACAGGAGGAGCAGCCCCCCTCGCAGGGAGTAAGGAGGCTTCAAAACCCCAGCGTGCCTGATGGTCTGCTGTGCTGGAATGAGTCGCTGAGTGAATCTGGTGGGCACCAGCACCCCTGCTGTTCATGTGATTACAGCTCGTTTGGGAGCACCATGCCCACTCCGCACAAGGAATTTGTCATTTCTGAAGGCACCACATGAACCTGCTCCCCACTGCCTCCCTGGCCAGTGGGGCGGTGCCACTGGTGCCACTGCCACCTCTCAGCCCGAAGAGCTGCTCTTCAATGGCACGGGAGCCAGCCCAGGAGCCCCCCAGCAGCACCAGCCACGCCAGGAGAAGCTGTCGGTCCCTGCTCACGCGCACCATGCCCCAACTTAGCAACAGTGCTGCTCGAGGCATCTCGTCACTCCTCGGTGCTGTGTGGTGAGGAGCCGCACAGAGCACCCAGCATCTTCTCCCAGGGGTGCACACGTACACACGGAAGCCTGGGGAGGAAGGGAGAGAGCATTCCCCTTTGCCATTTCCCAAGCAGGGTGTATTTGTCGTGTCTTGCCGAGGAGGAGGGTATCGCTGCCTGCTCCTCGTATTTCTCTCTCCGCTGTCTCTCCTGCCCAGCCTCAGCCCAGCAGGAACGCAAGGACATTACAACAACCGCTGACAGGAGGCTTTATAAGCGGTGAAAGCAAGCAGCACCAAAGCCTCCCTGGGTGGAAAATTCCTCCCAATTAAACGGCAGGAGCAGAAAAGGCACGTGTGCGAACTGGTCTGGGGTTAGAAGCAGGCCTGCAGGAGAGCGTGAAACACACGTGTCTTATCTGAAACAGCAGGAACAGTGTGACTGCCCCAAAGCTGGACTCTTGCGTAAATTATTTACTGCTGCATCTGTTTTTCCCTTTTATTCCTGAGCAAATCGTACTGACCACCCGGGTACCCCAAGAGAGCAGATCACCGGCTGAGCTAATTGCTGCAAAGGGCAATTAGCACAGCCCAAATCTTCAGGTCTGGAGGAGGAGAAATTAGCACTCCTGCCTCGAGAGAGGCGGCAGCACCCTGAGGGCTGAGGCTGCACGGCCGCGGGGATGCTGTAAGATGGTAATTGCACCCTGATCACAGACGCTGCGGAAGCAGCCACTTCTAACAAGAACAGAAATTGCTTTTAAGCAATTGCTTCATGCCAAAAGACACTGTGCTACAGACTTCACAGACGCCACCCCGTGACAGCCTTGCAGAAGAAGGGCTAATTTCCCTTCAGGGGTGGGAAGGGTTGACTGGAGCCACACCGCACCCCTAATGACACGGAGGGGAACAGGACAAGGCACGAGCAGGTGAGCTGGGGGCATTCCTCTTTCTTCCGTGGCAGAACAGCCGAGGTGGCGCGGTGGCTGTTTAGGACACACTTGACATGGAGCCATCCAAGCCACCTTCTGTGCTGCAGCCAGAAGCGTGCAGGCAGGAGCCGCACACCAGCGAGCAGCTGGGATGAGACTGGCTGGGGGTGGGGGGGGGGGGGCCCCCCCCGCACACCAGCGAGCAGCTGGGATGAGACTGGCTGGAGTTGGAGGAGCTGAGCCCACACCACACTGCACCAAGCCCCGAGAGCCACGGAGTGGCCGTGCCCACTAGCTGCAGGCAGGCCTCTCCATCTGACCAGGTACAGGTGCATTTGGAACTCGTCACGTGTGATTTTTCAGCACCGAATCCCAAAGGGTATAAATAAGGACACGTCTGCTCCCTCTCTTTGACATGTCTGTGATGCAAGGTGGCTATCAGCTACCCCACAGCACGCCGAGCAAACAGCACACAGCGGCACGTAGCACTCCCCACGCTCTGTTATCCCACAGCGGCACAAAGAGGCAGCCCCGCTGCTGTAGCCCACCTGTG